GGCTACGATTAGCATCGTTAGCACCGATGTAGCTAGCACTAGCTTACATGCTAACCCAAGCCTTACCATTCATTACGTAGCCGATTAAAATCATTAACACATAAATAAGTACTCGAATTTCACTTACCGCAAAACCGCATTCATGCACCGTCTGTTTTAACCGCAGAGCGAGTCACAATAGTCCGATATATAAGCATGAAGAACAAACAACCACGGCCGGCTACAAGTTGTGTTTCCTGGATGAGCTGAGCAGGCAGAGTCCCTGTAGCTTCACGGAGCAGCTAGCAGAGAGACAAGAAGCTAACAGCGGCAGGCACTTCACAGAGCCGTCACTCAATGTGACCACGCCCTAATTTATGCACAAACTTTAAGACCTAATATAAATAAAAGGGTCGTGTTAGAAAACAATTCACTCACAGATCCATAATCATGAAGGTGGAATCTAACTATATTCATAATAATATGTATTGCATCCAGGGGTAGAAACATGTTTTTTTCTGCTGTAAAGTTGGGCATTTTAACATGGGGGTCTATGGAAATTGCTCCTTTCTGCAGTCAGTCCCTATCGGCCAATATATGAACTGCAGTGTGTGGCACTTCCGTATTGGCGTCTCGGCTCTTCCCCAGAGTTTGCCGCTTGGTGCTGCCAAAAGTGGGGATGGAGCCGTTTAAAATAAAATAAAAAACGCGGTGCCGGGCCGGCTGTCAGCGATACGAGCCGCATCAATTGTTTGTTAAAGGCGAGACACGGCAGGCATCGTTTTTCATGCACTGGTCAATTTTGAGATGTTGTGCTATTTTGATTCTATAACATGTTTTCTTTCAGGCTTTTGGAAGGAAAACGTACAAAATACACATTTAAGTGTTTATTTGACTATAGTTTGTCTATTTGCGTCTGTAGATTTCTCCTAAATTCACCAAAAGTTAGCTTTCTAACGTAACATAAAGTACCGCGACCGCTGTGTGCACCATGTCAACAGAAGTATCCAGTGCTTGAATTGGAATGAAAAAGGTGCCAGTACTCTAAAATCAGCAACTATTTCAAGTGAATTTTATATATACAGCCCACAAACAAGAATTTGGCTACTATAATGCTGGTGGGTTTGTCTCTTTACTACTGTATATTTTAGAAAGGTTCACTGTACTTAACATTTTTTATGATAGGCAGCGGATATGGCTAAAGCTCAGTAAGGTCAATATTAACTGAAAATATAGCAATCAAAGTCTAGATCTTCTGCTGAAGACACATGAAGCAGAGACCTTTCAGGTGAGAGCCCCTCTGGTGGTGTTCAACATTAATGACAAGGAAACAAAGCTCTGGTCAGAAGCATTTTTTATAAAAAGCTTTAACAAAATTAAGTATTTCTGTACATTTTGAATGCAATCTAACTTTCCAACTCAGAAAACGAAAAACGAAAAAGTGCCAAAAGTCTTCTCACATGGCTGAGCTGCTTTGCAATATACGTCACCACTGAAGAATACAAATATGTATAAAGTAAACTATGATGCAATCTAACTTTCCAACTCAGAAAAATGATAAAGAGCATGAACAAAGAACATGTAAAAACAAATGCAAAATTTGCACAATCTAAAATGAGAAACTGTAACTGCAAGTAACAAAGTCTGAGCCATGGTAAAGAGTTACATTGAACACCAAGCTGATCAGATAACTCCCTGGTTGGTCTGAAGTCCTTCTATCTCCAGGATCTGTATAAATCGGCACATTATGCCAAAAGTCTTCTCACTGGGTGAGCTGCTTTGCAATATACTTCACATTGTTAGAAAAGGCTCCAGAAGGCCTTGGGGACATCAGTATCAGGGGCTGGAGCTGGACAGGCTCTTTCATCAGCACTTCTCCTTCCCTTTGCCAGCCAGGACCTCACATACTGTTCCGGATTGAACTGTCCTAGTGATGGTCCATTACATTTAATGAAAACCAGGCTGGACAGTCGGCTGACAGAGAGAGCATTCCTTTTTGCAGTAAGGATATCGTTCATGCAGCTGAATGCCCGCTCACACTCACTAGTGGAGACAGCGATGGTTCGGACTGCTTTCAGTAGAGGCTCCATGGCAGTAGGTGTACGGGATGCCCTGGTTTCCTTGTATTCGCGAAAGCCCTGAACAGTCTCTCTTCTGTCCACTTTCAGCACTTCGCACAAACGTAGCACTTCTACGTCCCCATACTGTACATCTAACTCCTCTTCAGGCCAACTTCCAGGATGGATAACTTTCATGTTCTGGATTAGCTGATTGTCCCGGGCCTCCCGGCCATGTAATGGGATTTCTCTTGTGCTGACATGAGAGGAGGTTGTGGAAGTCATTCTGTGTCTCAGATTCTCTACCATACTGCGGAAAAACTGACCTGCATGAATCTGTACAAGCCTGCCATTCTCACGCAGGGCAACACCCTTGAAGGACTTCTCAGCTAGAGCTGTATGAACTGTAGTCATGTGTGGGCCAGGCATGGTGACCATGGATTCAAAAACTCGTATTTCTCGAGTTAAGAGCCTATCTGCTGTAGGCAGTGTCATCTCTCTTTTTTGGAGTTGCCGAGAGAGGTCGCTGAGCTCTGTGAGCGCATCGTACATCAGTCCCAGATTGCTGACAAACGTTGCAGATGTGAGCACATCATCCAGGCCCTTGTACTTTGCTCTGTCTCTGGAATCCCTGCTCGTGTCGTTTGCAGCATTTGTGAAGTGATCATGAAGCACTCGGTAGTTTTCCCAGACTGCTCTGACGCTCCTTTCACTTGAAGCCACCCAGCGGATGGACAAAACACGCCCTATCACCAGGAGACGCTGTCCGACTGCTTGCGCACACTGCGCTAACTGCCTCTGATTTTTGGGGGAGGTATGGAACAAGGAATAGAGTTTGTCAAAAAAGATCTGGAAATGATTGAGCCCTGAGACCTCCTTGACCACATCCCCAACTGCCAGCTCTAGACGATGATTGGAGCAGTGCCACACATACAGGCTTGGGAATTTACTACACAACTGGGTAGCAACGCCTGTTCTCTTCCCTAGCATGACTGAAGCCCCATCACATGCAAAAGAAACGAAACACTGACCTAAAAAGTCCTCGTTAAAATCTCTTCCAAGACACTCCATTAACGCCTTTGTGATGTCATCAGCCGTTGTTCCATCCAACTCGATCAGCTCCCAAAAAAACGTTTCGGGCTCAGCATCAGCTAATGCTGAGCGTAGACACACAACAAGCACCGTTTTACCACTAATAGTGGTAGATTCATCGACCAAAACACAGAGTTTTCTTTGGTTTTCTGTAATGTCTTTTGCCATTTTTTTCTTCAGCTCATGAGCTATGTGGTCGATGATTTCGCCACAGGTTTTATTGGAGTGCAAAACCCTGCCCACGTTCAGCCCATTCAGTTTCTGTACATTCAAATCAATTGGCATGTCTGTGAATGGCCGGCTATGTTTGCCAATTTTATATGCCGTTCGAAAAACTCTGATAGTGGTGTCTAATTCAGATGTATGCATAGACTGCACTTGATGTTGAATAGTTTCACGTGAAGCAGATGTAAGGATGTCAGCAGCTTTTACATGGGCTTGTGATTCTTTATGTTCTTTGATTTTTTTTCTCAGGCTAGCTTGTTGTTTGCCCTTGTCAACACCGAAATGAGACACTGCACACTCACCCCATTCAGTTGACAGTTTCAGTCCTTGTCCAGTGTGTATTCCCAAGATTTGACATCTCTGCATATCCGACATCCTAGCTTCTTATCTTTAAGAAGGAGCCATGCATTGGTCTTGCAAAAATATTGCACCTGGTCCGTTGTCCAGCAGTCAGGTGCATCGCTTTGCCCGGTGTTGGTGGTGGCAGTTGAGCCAGCAGCAGCTAACGTTAGAGGCTCTGGAGGAGGAGGCGGAGCTAGTGCTAATGCTAATGCACTAGAACTTGGAGCAGGAGGATCAACCAAAGAAAGCTCCCCATCAGACACAATTTCCAACACAGGCACAGCATTCTCTGTATTTGAAGTTTCTTCCGGTGACAACCGCTGTCTTTTTGCACTTTTATTAATCCACGCTAACATTTTAGAAATGCTAATTTGTGACGTGACTTGCTTTCCTTCTCTCGGGGGCGTGCCTGCTCTGTTCTATCACTCTACATAGCCACCCACTGGGTGGGAGTTGCACTGCATAAACACAACACACGTGCATCTAGGTATGTAAATTGTAAAGCATTAAAACATGGTTTTACTAACAGTTTTCAGTATGTTGTTACTTCGGCATTATTATTATTATTATTATTATTATTTTGAAACGTGTATTACTATTAAATCACGGTCAAATAGGTTAATTTTGACATAGTCGTTTCCACCACAGTATTTACATGGAGAAGATAAGCCCCGCCCCCTCTCCAGCACGTTCTGTTTGAATGACAGGAGTAAACAGCTGACAGCCGCTGTGAAACTCCAGCGGTTAGAGCGATGAGAATGTCCGTTCGGCACCTCATGACGCATCTACTGAGTACCGGGCGGCTGTATATATATATATGGATGTATAATAAGAACGGCGGGAGAGTGTTGAGTACTGGCACGGTGCATGAGTACCGGAGTACCGCCAGCATGCCGGTACTGAGCAAGAAGTGCCGGTACTCCATGGGTCAGAACCAGAAGTGCCGGTACTGCGTACCGGTGAGTACCGGCCCAATTCCAGCACTGGAAGTATCGCTGGAAAGCTGAGTCTCTCCTGCTCAATCTTATGGAGCTATTTCAGGGTCATAAGTTTTGATCATTCAAAAAAAATACAATTTATTTGAAAGTTCAAGTTTTTATCCTGAACTTTGAAAAATACAATGATGTATTCAAAATAAAAATAAGTATTTGAAATAATTGTTCAGGTTGAATATTATTTTGATTCAGTTCAGCAATTTTTTTGAATAAAATATTTATTTTCATATTTAACTTTTATACATATTTTGATTTTGATATTTCAATACTTGTTTTTTTCAGTTTCAGATTTTACGTTTTCAGATTCAAAACAATTATTTTTTCGCTTTCAGATCTTTTTTTTTCGCTTTCAGACTTTTGACCCTGATATTGCTTCGGGGGGCGGGGCTTACCAAAGAGTAGTTTGGCACCCTGAGTGACAGCCCTCCATCTGTCATGATGCCTTCATGGATGTTAGGTAGCGCAAGAAATACAACTACACACTTTCTATACACAATACTCCCGTGATTGGTGGTAAACAAAACTGATACCAGCGTCAACGTTCCGTTAAGCGAGCTTTTGAGCATCGTAGTTGGCAAAAATTGCGGTATAAGAGCAATAAACTGTGCTAGAATGTGAAATTACGTATCCGCAATGAAGCGTTGTCCTTCCCCACTTCCACGTAGCTCCGTGAACGCAGCATAGTATTGGCTTGGCTTTTGCGATGGCGTCAGGTCATTCATATTACGTTCTTATTATACATCCATGCGTCAGGTCCATGGTCAGGTCCACCTGCTGGCTCCATGGCTGGAACCAGCGCACAGGTAAGAAATATTAACTTTTTTCCATTCATGGTCTTAGAAGTTATCCAAGAGCATGATAATAATATTATAGCGACATACATAAAAGGAAGGCAGGCCTTTTGAGGTGGGAAATGAATGTGGCAACGCGGGAAACTAACCATGGCATTGAGGCTACTCGTGTAGGCTATGCTATTAGCTATAGTCAGTGCAAGTGAATTTCCCTTATGTTGATAGAGTCCAGCTCACGTGTTTCTCAATCTGTCTTTGCCAGAGTGGCGACCGTAATTCATCTGTGGCTGCAGCAGCACACGCTTTAATACCCGTGCTCACACAGCACCTCTCTTTAAATGATTGGTAATAACTTACATTATGTTTTGATTTGATCACCTATTTATAGAGTTAGTTTACAAAGCATAATTGTTGCAGTCATTTTCTTTGCACATGTCCTTAACGATAGTTGTCATGCTGTTTATTATTTGAACATGAACTAATCCAGTGCAATATGGTAAATTGATGTTTGTCAATTCTAGGAGCAACTGAAAAGGGACTTTCTTCAGAGACTACTGACTTTCCCAGATCACGCAGAGACTGCCCTTAGATGTTGACTATTTGCAGTTTGCAGTGGACCAGGAGGTGGCTCTTTTTAGGTCGCTATCAGGCCAGGTTGATATGCCACAGGATGTCATCATGCTTTGACTGAGCTGTCAAGACTTGTCAATCTTGAAGACATCTCTAATCAGACCCCTCATCAGGTGCCAGTAATGCAAGGAGAGATGGGACGACCAAAACATGTTGTCTGTCCTCAACAACTACAAGGCTTAATAGAAGACTTGTCCCTACCAGTGCCGGCCATAGCAACCCTTCTGGGTGTATCTGAGAAGACAGTCAAAAGGCGCATGCATGAAAATGGCCTCTCCATAAAACAGTCCTACAGTACCTAACTGATGATGAACTAGACAATTTGGTTCGTCAGTTAAGGCCAGGACACCACATGTAGGATATGGAATGATGAAAGGAATCCTGAAGGCCATGGGTCGCCGTGTGCAATGGAAGAGAGTGTCTTCATCAATGCATCGTGTTGATTCTGTGGGTGTACTCACAAGAATGGCAAGGGTGGGGTGTGTTGCAAGAAGGACACATTCTGTTCAGGGTCCTCTGCACTTGGTACACATCGACACAAATCATAAACTCATCAGGTACGCCACACATTTGATGTTAACATGCTATGTACAATAAAGGATAATAGAGTACAAATTAAAAAAGTGATGTTTTAAAATGCGCTGTCAAAGTTGTTTGCATAATAAATAACAGACACTAAAAGTGATTTTGTGTTTTCAAAGATATGGTCTTGTTATTTTTGGAGGGATTGATGGCTTCTCACGGAAGGTCATTTTGTTTTCACAAATAACGATTATTTACAAGTCAGATAATGACAGTTATCGGTCAATAACTAAACCTGATGCATGATTTACAGTTCCTTTCAAAATATCTATATTTTTAGTTTGTATCCATCTTAAACCTTGTAGCAATGTTCAACACATTTAGAGATCTGCTTTTATTTATTCTGCGTGTGAAGTAAAACTTCTTTGCAGCAATGTTGAGCCAATCATGAACTGAGGGAACCTTCGTCAATACACTGATATTTATTGAGAGACAAACGGCCGGAGGATTAACAAAGCAACTCGCACTGTTCCATGCAAGCTGCCAAATTAACTCTGAACACAAAAGACAGAAACATCTCTATATACCTTTTAGAGGCGGGGTCTAAACAGCCCGCCTTTTCCCCTAATCCATTACAGATGAACAGACAAAGAAACTCTGTCTGAGCGGGCAGTACCCCCCCCCCACACAGAGAAGTTTCTCAGGTCAGCTAAGCATCAGACTAAAATATTCCTTTACACTGCTTAATAATGTTCTCTGCTGCAGATCATGTACCTGGGTGCTGCCACTAATAATAAAGCATCGGCTTCACTTCTTCTTGGAGGGTGTGCAAAAGTATGGCTTTCCATTAAGGTAATGGCTCCCTGTTGTACTCTTTAGTCCTTTGGGCCTTCTCTGTCATTAAAAGATGCATAATGGTTTGTATAACACTTTCAGTGATCAATGTTTTGATCGCTGAAATGACCCGAGAATGATTCACTACCGAGTCAGGAAGTAACTACGACTCTCGAAATCAATCTGAGTGGAACCAACCTCAATCTGTCCAAAGCCCTATTGATGATCGAATACATCGTACAGAATACTCGATGACTAAGTCACCTTCTGTCTCTCCAGACAAACCATGTTTAGGATTATTTGCATTATACCATTACATATTCATTTTTCACCTGTCTTTAAAAAACGATAATAAAAATAACTTGCCTATTTTCTTCTACATTAAGAAATCTAAAAAATGGCATTGTCATAACTTTTTGTAATGTTTTATTTCATGTGTGTGATTCATCTTTTTAAGAGTAAGAGCCGACCAAGGAGTGGAACATGTTGGCATAGCGCGATGCATGTTCACTATAAGGGGCTGTGGAAGGGGAAGCTTCATGTCAGGGAAAAGTGTGCACAATCAAAGGTACATTTTTGGAAGTAATGTCAAACAGAATCGAACGTTTGTGGCGAGATGTTTGGATGGCTGTTTCAAACGTGCACTACGAGGTTCTTCACAGCCTGGAGGATGAGGGTGTTCTAGATCCGTCTGATAGCATCCACATGTTCTGTGCCCAGCATGTATTTCTTCCGCGTCTTCAGAGGGATCTCAATGTCTTCAGGATGGGTTGGGATAATCACCCTCTAAGGGCAGAGCAACATGTGTCCACACACCAGCTGTGGACAATGGGACTCCTCCATTGTCCACACACCAGCTGTGGACAATGGGACTCCTCCATAACCCTATTGATGTCCAGACCTCACAGAGGTCTGGACATCAATAGGGTTATGGAGGAGTCCATTGCCCCCACACCAGCTGTGGGCAATGGGACTCCTCCATAACCCTATTGATGTTCAGACCTCACAGAGGTCTGAACATCAATAGGGTTATGGAGGAGTCCATTGCCCACACACCAGCTGTGGGCAATGGGACTCCTCCATAACCCTATTGATGTCCAGACCTCTGTGAGGTCTGAACATCAATAGGGTTATGGAGGAGTCCATTGCCCACACACCAGCTGTGGACAATGGGACTCCTCCATAACCCTATTGATGTTCAGACCTCACAGAGGTCTGAACATCAATAGGGTTATGGAGGAGTCCATTGCCCCCACACCAGCTGTGGGCAATGGGACTCCTCCATAACCCTATTGATGTCCAGACCTCGCAGACGTACTCATTACATGTTCATTCAAGCTAAATTGTATCAACATAATTTTGGCCAGTGTTCTCAAACTATTTCAACTAAAATATATTAGACCAAAGTATTGTGCTTAAAACAGCTTAACAAAATTAAAGGAACTCCATTAAACTTATATTATGAAAGAAATTGGCATTGCCACTGTATGTTCGCTGTTCATTACATTAGTATTGAACCTTTGGGCTAGGAAACAATTATATGTGTCATGTTTCAATGGAATTTACAATCACTAGCATCAAATAAATGAAAGATAGATATTTTTCTTTAAAATTGCATAAAACTTGCTTACTAATGTGAAATGCAAAGCATGGGACTGCACTTGAAATGCATTTTGTAAGACCTCAAAATCACCTCTTTTGATAGGTGTACCATTGAAAAGGCAAAAAAGTGTTTTGTTTGTATTCTTTACATTCTCTAGTGTTTGTGGTGCTTACAGTTATTCTTGGTCCCCTAAAACCCATGACTGATATTTAATTTGTATCAAGGAAATGGAGGATGCAGATCTTGATTTCAACACTGCCAGTGAGCCAGATGAGTCCAGTCCTGGAGTGATTCTCCCACCTGTCCCCGCAGTGAGCATCTGGGTCCTACGGCCGAGACATTGATTTAGCTGTATTGAACCATGTACTAAATCATGCATCCTAAATGCAAACATGTTTCAAGGGTTCAACACCTTTACACCCTTAACATTTTATTATATTCCATATCACAGTTCTGGGTAGCAACATGTTACAACATTATATCAATGTCTTTGTTTTTCTTTAAGAGATGTTTAACCGAGTGGTGCAGTGATGACGTATTTGTGTAGTTCGACCCGGAAGTAAGCTGCAAGGGTTCCCTCGACAAAAAGCAATGGGATTTCCTACAGTATGGAGAAATCCCACTGCTTTTTTGTTGAGGGAACCCTTGCAGCTTACTTCCGGGTCAGCCTACACAAACACGTCATCACTGCACCACTCTATTGCTGCCATTACATTTTTTTTTAAGATGACTTGACTGGAAGCAGTCAATGCTAAACCTTTAACACTTAACCAGTAAGGTTAACTTGGAACAGAGGTCGTTAATGGTTACCTTATTACACATTGCTAAATTCTTGGCCTAATTGAAACGCTTCAGTCAGGATGTTTTTGAATTGGTCATAGGGCCTCATATGTCTCACAGGTAAGGTGATTGTCACAACAGGGTAACAGACACTGTGATGCCACTGCAGTCATGATTGAATTGGATCCCAACTGCAAAGTCCTTCTTCTCTGAGGGAAGAAGTGGGACGTGACCCTGGCCTGTGATCCACTGCAGAAACGTTGCAGGTGTGATGGGATGTAGGCCATCTTTATCTACGTGCCCATGATCTTCAGCTATGAGGAAAATAAACAAAAAGCGTCATGACAGTTTAAAGTGTAGTTTGAGGTACTGAGGTACAACACAACACAGAACGTCTGATCCAAAAAAGGTAATCAAGTTTGTGTAATTCAGGATTCCTACAACAACTTAAACATTCAATTCAAGGACATTTGAATGTTTTTCCAAGCCCAATGCCTTCACATTTAAAACCCCAACTTTTGTAATTTAAAACAACTTACATTTAAATCTTCATTAGAAGTAAATCGAAAACTTGATACCTTCATATAGGAAGTCCTGAATGAAGTTCATCATCTCCAGCTCAACCTGATGCCTGGTAGTCGCTTTGTCACTCAGTTGAGGAAGAATGGATGTCATGACAAACTCTGCATTGACCTATGATGAGAACAAATCCAGATGTAAATGATGTACTCTTTACTCCTTAACTTTAATATCAAATTGTAAAGAATGGTCTCTTTTGTTCTGCTCACTTTGACATCTTCCCCAGAAACAAACAAGGGCTGGCAGATATCTGGGTGCTGACTCATCAGTGAACGGAGCCCATACAGCTGCAAGCCTTCCCTCAGTTGTTCCAACATAGGCTGCAGCCGCAGCACTGCGTGGAGTATGATGGCACTACAAAATTACAAAGTAAATGCAATCCTTAATAAAAAGGTACACATGTAACATCTTTTAATATACAAAAATAAATAAGTGTCAAGCATACCGAACAATGGTGTCCTTGTTTGGAATGGAGACATTTCCAGTATATCCACAATTCAATATTTCATCAGATAGGCCTATCATCATTGAATGCTCAGTCGCCGACTCAACCTGAAAACAGAGAAGTACATCTCTTTACCATATTAATATAAACCTATGACTATAATTGGAAAATAAATGCTTATTTCTTATTAACCCAGCATTTACATAATATAGAACTCATACCTGGTCAATTAACTCTCAGCTGGACATCTGCCACTGAATCACTGTTGAGAACCTTCTGGTTTATACGTCCACTGCAGAGGTAACTGTAAGTCCATGGGCTGAAGGAGGCAGGGGCGGGGCCACCTTGTGCCAAACTAACAGCCAACATCTCTCCCACTGTCCTATTAACACAGATTGAGCATGAATGCATTTTTTATGTTATAGAACATTTATCAAAAAGAAACAGTTGGTCCTTACTGGTCATGCTGAAGAGTAAACAAACCTGTAGAGGTCACTGTCCAAGTCATTCAGAGAGTACTGTGGGATCCGCTGCTGTTGAGGTCCTTCAAAGAAACAACCCTCAATTCCTGCCACCACTTCTACACACAAGTACAAAGACCATTTACTTTAATAATCAGGATACTAAGTATTTTATTAATGTCTAACCCCGTTTAAATACAAAAAAGGTTAAGTAGTATATAACAAAGACTAAAAGAAAGTTTCACAGCCTAACCCTAACCCACAGACATTATCCATAAATCTAGACTATTTTAATTAAGAGTCAAATGTAAGAATGCAAAAATGGTTGTTTTTGTTTACCTGTGAGAAATTCTTTTGGGAGGGCTCCTGTGTCGACTCCTGCCTCCCCAAAGGTCACGCTCAGGGTCGCTGTGGGTGAACTGCCTTTTTGACGCTGCCACTAGAAGGCCTCTTTCGAGAATGTTTGTTCGTGAGAT